GAGAGAGGGAGAGGGATAAAATGATCATTACTTTTCTTAGAAAATAATTACTAATATTTTATTATACTAATTGCAAATATGATAATTATGTAATTAAATTTAAATGGTAATTTAATTTTTATATAATAAAATAATAGACTTTTGTTTTCGTGTAAACTTATTGCTGCATAAAAAAATTAATATGCTATCTATTTTCTAATTTTATAGAGATAACAGATGAATTATTAGCGGCGCAAGTATTTATTTTTTTCACGGCTGGCTTTGAAACTTCTTCAACAATGTTAAGCAATGCTCTTTACGAACTAGCTTTGAATCCTGATGTTCAGAACAAATTGCGAGAGGAGATTAAAGAATTTGAATCGAAAAATGATGAAGAGTGGAAACATGAAACCGTTAAAAAAATGAACTATTTGGAAAAAATATTTCAAGGTAAATACCGCAATAGTTTCTTCTAACGTAACTTTTTTACTTTTTCAAATGAATGTTCAAATTTTAATTTGTTGATGCGTGTATTTGAAACTTTTATTTATATTTCACTATCTCTATTCTGAAACCTGATACGTTCACGTTAATGCCGGACAAGAAACATTGAAGAATCGATAAGGATGGAAAAAACATACAAAAATTCTTATATTCTCTATCTTGCTTTATCTAATACAAATATAAATTGTTCAACAGATAAGTTCGAATCAACATTTTTACATATCAACTTTTGTGCGTGTTTTTAATTGACCACATCAATTCTTCAAAATAAAATATATTAATACTTTGAGTAATAATTATTACAGTGTTTTTAATTTCTTTTCTGCTTATAGAAACTTTAAGAAAGTACCCATCTGTGCCATTTTTGAATAGAGAAATAATTGAGGATTATACTTTCGAAAGTAATAAAGTGACAGTTCCAAAAGGATTAAAAATTTGGATACCAACTTACGCCATTCATAACGATCCGGATATTTATCCTGATCCAGAAAAATTTGATCCTGAAAGATTTTCAGAGGATAATATAAAACAAAGACATCCTATGTATTTTTTACCTTTTGGACACGGACCAAGAAATTGCATTGGTATGGATATGTACAAAAGAAATTTAAAATCGAAAATAATATAAAAAATAATAATAATAATACTATTTATAATTAGAATTAGAATAATAGTACGATATTAATTAGAATTTTGTTCCAGGTATACGATTTGCCGTATATCAAGTAAAAATTGGATTGATAAATATTATTCGTAATTTCAAGCTTGATGTTTGCGACAAAACATTAATTCCTTATAAACTTCATCCACGTGGATTAATTTTAATACCTCTTACAGGCTTATATTTAAAGATAACTCGATTGACGAACTAACAATTTCTCTTTATTAATTTAAACTTCATTATTGTTTAACATAAAAGATATTATCTATAAGAATCTATGTGTAAGAATAAGAATAATATGCACAATATACGTGTTAATATAAATAAAACATATATATATATATATATAACGTATAACGTATATATGTAATATTATATTTATTCTACAGTTATTTATTTAGAATGTTATCCATTTTCATTTTTGAAACTATTTTTTTTTAAACTTTCAACTTTTTTAAACTATTTTAAACTTTATTTATCGGCGCTTCATAAAAACATTTATTATAATGATAAAAATATTTTAAAATATTTTATTACTTTAAATGAGATTCTATTTTCTGTATTTATTAATTAGAATACATATTTGATTTATAGACAAATAGATTTCAAAAATCAAACAAAAATCGAAGAATTAATGCCTACTTAATAATTTAGATCTTATATTTTCTTAATAATATGGTAAAACAGGAACGATATTGAAAATTATCTCATGAGTACGATTAGGAATATCTGTCGTTTCCAAAAGATAGCGCTGACGATCAATTCTTGTTTAAATATTATTTTCTTCCTTGTCTATTTGATTTTGTTTTGTTGAAGGTGAAAATTTCTCATAATATTTCTATCTTTCTTCTATTTTTACTCTGTATTTTTTTCTGCATACTTGTTTTTATTGTACGACTATAAATAAAATATAAATACAAGATATCAATTTCATTTCTTTCCCGACACTACAATGTATTTTAACTTTTATCGTAAAAAAATATAAAAATTACATTTTTATTTATACAATATTTATTATTCTAAAATATATCCTGATATATAATAAGAATGTTTTAACGCAATATATATGTTTATATGTTTGATGATTGATAAAAATATATACACGAACAATAAAAAGAAAATAATATTGTCTTTAATTTTTCTATTTTCTTTTTATATATAAATGAATTTAAATAATATTTAAAAATATTTAATTATTTACAAAATTTGGATTTAAATATTACCGAAATTGCTCGTAACTTAAAATTTAAAATTATATTTGCATTAAAACATTTTAATTCCATTTGCATCTCTTTCTATATAATTATATAATTAATTTGCAAAATTGTTATTGCTTTTCTTTAATTTACTTTATAATTTTATATAATCAAATACGTACATATAGATTTACGAAGTATTTATTCAGAGAATTATTTAATTTATATATTTACTATATGTTGAATACAATAATAGAATTGTTTGATTAGAAAAAAATAGAATATAGCATACTAATGAAAATAATTTGAATTGTGTCATAATATAGTGTGTCCTGATATAAACAATATTATTGTATATTAATATATAATATTGCAAGCAAACTACGTTCCGCTTCCAAAAATAAAAATGTTTTTATTTTTTACAAAAATACCAAAATTAATCAATCAATTTCCACATAGTTAATCATTGAATCAATGATTTGCACATCATTATTGGATATTAATAAGCAAATGTCACTATCTTCGGATTAATCTGAAGAGATTAAGAATAAAAAGAAAATAAAAAGATATGTTGCACGTTTTGAAATGTTCACAAATATTGCGATTTGAAAAAATAACGTTTTGTACGTATTTTACTATAATTTACTATAATTAATGTAAATTATAGTAAATAACAATATATCATATCCTAAAAGTTTATAAACGTCATGTCTTAATGAGGAAGATAAAATCATCCATCATGCTTGAATAGTACTAAATATTTACATATATTGCATATTTCATTTGAATAAATTATTATAAATTTTTAAAATTATTATAAATTTTTATTATAAATGAACACTTTTTATTATTAACATCAGAGATTATTATATGCGAGATATAAATAGTATAATAAAATTTATATAATGATGCATTAGTCCGAATACATGTTCTACATATATATTTTCCATATGTATTCAACTAAGAAGCATTTTTAATAATGGATTTCTTCACATATAAAAATAGCAAAAGATAAATATATTTTATTTAAATTATAGTGAAACAAATCACGAAAAAAAGATTTTTATATAAATAATCTCGAAAATTATAAGTAATAATAACGTTGGATGCATACATAAATAAACGTTCTTCAAATTCTTCGTAACATAATTTCAAAAATTATTGAAGTAGCGACATAATTCATCGATTTTAATTCGCAAAGTATCTATCGTATATATTTTTATTATAATATATTCCATTTAAGTAAAGCTATCGATATTCAAATCTATTTTATCAAATATGACTTAAAAAGGAAATGTTAATGATAATAAAATTATTTCATCTATTAAATACATAAAACGTTTTATGTTAATAGTTAATAGTGTCAATTAAATAAATTTGTTGTTTATAAATAGCGCTTATTTGAACATAAGCAGTTAGTTTTAGTAGTGTTTTCAAATAATTTCTAAAATATTTATAACACCATACATAATAGATTCTTATAAGTCAATAATAATTTAAATATAAATTAATGAATGATAAGAAAATTACGAAAGAAAATTCGAATATTCTTCATTTCGTGTTTCGTAAAATCAAAAAATTTAATTATATTTTATAACACGTTCTTTAAAATATCAATAGTTTAACGATGTTGAACAAAATTAATTATATTAACTAATGATTGAACTTGATTGAAGCGTATTGCTAATTCAAAAAATTAATTGTTAATTAATTCTTCGCATTGTATAATAACAAAATTTAAAAAATGTATACTAATTTAGAAATTTTTTGTGGAATAGTAGTGGCGCTTATTGCGCTCTACTATTATTTAACGATTAATAAAAATTTTTGGAAAAATCGTGGAATACCTGGACCAAAACCCATATTGGGATTTGGCAATATGAAGG